GGGCACACGCCTGGGTTGCAGGCTTGATCCCCAGTGTGGGGCATGCAGGAGGCAGCCAATCAATGATTCTCTCTCATCACTGATGTTTCTATCTCTCAATCTCTCTCCCTTCCTCTCTCTGAAACCAATGAAGGGTAAGAGTAGAGAAAGAAAGTGAAATTAGTGCACAGATGGGCCTGCGGGTTGGGTGCTATAGAGTGTGAGGCAGTTGGCTTTGAGCTTCCTTGTGGCCCAAGCAAAAATGGAAATACAAGCACTCACATGACCCACCACGGCCACAGCTCAGGCATCACAACGCTTATATTATTATTTTCTCAGACAGCTGGGGCTCGCACCATGTGTGCACGCCTCCGCGTGTGCACGCCCACTCACCCGGTGCGTGTTGTTGATGACGATGGGGTCCGGGTTGCCGTAGTTGGGGGGGTTTGCGTAGGGGTCGTAGCCGAGCCGAGCCAGCATGGGGGCGATCTGGGCCATGTCCCTCACCACGTCCCCGGGAATGTGCCCGGTCCACTTGGACAGGGCTTCCAGGTTCACGGGCTTGATGACCTGGTCGGTGGATCGCTCGATCCTGCGGAGAGAGGACAGGCTGCAGGGCCGGGCAGACCCGGGCGCCACCTGGGGGCCCCCTGCTCAGTCACTTGGGGGCAGTGGGGAGACTGGAAGGACCTGGGCCCCATCGACTGTGAGTCCGCGGACGGGTCCCAGGCTGGTCACGCCCCTCTGTGCGGTGGGGTACAGCACGCGATGGGAGGAAGGAAGGACCAGGCAGAGAACACTGTGGGGCCTAACTTCTGCTTCCTTGATGCCTCTGACTTAACTTTTGTTTCTGCGGCTGAGACGGACAGTCTGTTCTCGGGAAAGAATTACCAAACACGAGCGGTGAGGCTGAGTCCCTGTGGCCGCCACTCCCAGGCCCTCAGCGTCCTGCAGGGACCCCGTCCTCCCAACCCTTTTTCTGAGCCTTAAATAATGGAGTAGCTAAGAGCTGACTCAGGAGCCAGACTGTCTGGGTTCAAATGCCAGCTGTACCAACACCAGCTGTGAGGCCTGGGAGGGTTACTGCCCCTCTCGGAGCCTGTTTCCTCAGCTATAAACGTGAACGCTGACAGCACCCACCTCCTGGGCTGCTCTGAGGGGTCAGTGAGTGAATACAAGTAAGTGAGTTAATACGGAGCGACAGCTCGCTCTCCTCCTCCACTGCTCGGTGCTCTGGGGCTCAGGAGGGGGCGGCCTCCCGCAGGAGGAAGGCAGAAGCAGGAGGGCCCCGGACATGGGGGGCTCGAGAGCACATTCTCTGGAGGCCAAGAGGCCCGGGCTCCAGTCCCGGAGCCACACTCTGCTCCCGAGATCCAGTTTCCTCATCTGTAACAGGAGGGAGCGCAGTTCCGATGCCTTCAGGTCGCTATGGCGATTAAAGGGGTAATGTTTGTCGGGGGCTTAACTCTGGCTTAATGCTTGCCAGAGAGCGGGCAGTTATTAAATGGTAGTGATGGTGGGAGGACGAGTATCCAGTAAAAGCACATCAACACTAACAAGGAGAACAGGAAGAGTAGCTCCTGGCCGGGCGGCGTGGCTCCGTGGTTGAGCGTCAACCTAGGAACCAGGAGGTCACGGTTCGATTCCCGGTCAGGGCACATGCCTGGGTTGTGGGCTCGATCCCAGTGCGGGACGTGCAGGAGGCAGCCAATCCATGATTCTCTCTCATCACTGATGTTTCTCTCTCTCTCTTCCTCTCCCTTCCTCTCAGAAGTCAATAAAAATAACAGAATAGCCCCTAACACGTTTACCCTATTTGACACTCACAGGTACTATCTATAAGGCAGACAGATTATAGTCCCATGTGACAGATGAGGAAATGGAAGCACAGAGAGGCTGAGTCACTTGCTCAAGGCCACACAGCTAGAAAGTGGTGGAGCTGGGATTCAAACCCAGACGGCCTGGCTCCAGAATCGGCATTCGTCACCTTCGCCCACCTCGGCCTGGCTGTGAGGCATGTTCGAAGGTCGCCGATTCTGTCAGGAAAGAGGAGAGAGACTGTCCCCCTTTTTTGGGTAACGCAGCTGCGCCTCAGAGAGGCACGGTGACTTGCCCGAGGCCACACAGCTCGGGGACACGGAGCCCATCTTTCCTCCACATGCCTCCGACCCCAGGACCGGGCCCGGGGCGGGCTGTCGGGGGCCACTCACTTGGACAGGGAGACGCCGCCGGGCTTGCCGATGAGGTCCTCGTGGTGCAGGACGGAGTCGCTCCAGGCGATGCCCAGGAAGTCCAGGATGAGCTGGAGGGAGCGCCGGGGGTGCAGCACCAGCTGCTCGTAGTACACGGGCAGGCACTTGTCGCGGCCCACCTCCAGGCACTGCGCGTACATCACCTCGATGGCCTTGTTCCACTTGGTGAGGCAGTCGCGGTAGCTGCTGAGGTCGAAGCCGGCGATGGTGACCTTGCGCGTGATCATGGAGTGCACGGAGGCGCGGCCGTCGCGCACCATCAGCAGGAACTTGGAGTTGGGGAAGAGGCGCGACAGGTAGACGGAGGACTTGAGGGTGAAGGGGTCCTTGTTGCAGAGCACGCGGGCCGGCTCGCCGTGCTTGGCGATCACCTCCAGGATGAAGGCCTGCATGGCGGCGTCCAGCACCACTTCTGTCACGCCTGCCTCCTCCAGCCACAGCTTCTCCCAGCGAGACTTGGACCAGGCCTGGCACATGGCCAGCACACCGGCGATGATGCGGGTCTTCTCCTCCCCGCAGGAGCGCACCTCCAGGTGGGCGCACCTCGGGGTAAGCGTCCAGCATGACGCGCATCAGAGTGGTGCCACTGCGGGGCGTGCCTCCCACGAAGATGAGAGGCATGGCCTTGCCGTAGCGATACTCCACGTGGTCTGTGCCCACCATCACCAGGTCCTCCTGCTCCGGCCAGCGGCTCTGCGGGCCCTTCAGCACCACCGGGCACGCCAGCACCTGCTGCCCCAGCTGGAACGCCAGGACC